TGAAAAGTCCTTGACTAGTGTAAGCACTACTTAGCAACAACTGAAACATTGGTGTGTTATCAACATTGTTCTCATCCTAAATCCGAAACACAGCACTGTACCAGCTACTAGGAAGGAAATTAACTCTATCCCTGCCGAAACCAGGACGTGTACTTTGTTATTCTGGTCAATTCATCTGATATTATGCTGCATGAGATTTTATGGCAGATTTGATTTCATTCATTCAGCTGTTTAATCATCCCTAAATGTCTGTGTTTATGCATTTATCTTTTCTGGTCATTCTAGAAGATGGCTTTTTCTTTCTTTATCTTGCTGGTACCTGTAATCCTCTATTCTTCATTATATCCAACATGTCAACTGGAAAACAGGAAAAAACCCAGCTCTGAATGGTATTGTGTATGTTTGTTTTAAATACATACATGCAATGTATATATTAGGATAAAAAGGAAGTAAGAGATTTTATTTGTAGAAATAAATAAACAAATATTTTTATATGTAGATATGCCATTTGGAATTTATTTCATCTTATTATGGAATGCTATGTTAATAAACTTTATAGAAAACTTCAGGCGAGAGAGAAATTTAGTTTGGAAACAGAAATTATCTCTGTATAGCTGTCAGCAGTCACCTAAAAAAACCTGATACAGGCTTTGATATAGATTTACAGTTCATCAGGCTGTATTTCCTGAAATTTATTGAAACAATTTCCTCCATAAATATTTTCTGTTCATCATTTGCAATGGACATCTGGAGGTTTTATTCTTCTGTTCTTTATCAGGAATAACAATCCTGTAAATATGTGTAAATAAATGTCAAGTATACTAAATCAATATGTGAAATGTCTTAATGCTTAATGTCTTCTTCTTCAAGAAGAAGAAAATGTGAAAAGATGGTGTTGATCAATTTTCGACTTGAGTTTTTGTCCTGTTAAATAATTTGTCATGGCAGTGGATAGTCTGCAGAGAAGAAACTGTTAAAAAAAGACAAAGGAGAGTAGCTGTTGACTAGTCCAGATATTAGTTTGTTACTACACACATTTTTTTCCTGATTGACAAGATGGGCTCTGTTTAAAGTAAAAATGTTATGGGTTTATTCCCTATTGCAAGATCAAGGATTTGATTTGTGGCTACTTCATCCTACAAAACAGGAAAACTGTGAATTTGTCTATAGGCAATATTTGTCTACTCTGTAACAAATGGTCACAAAATATTCATACGCATAACAGTTTGGCTGCTCCAAGAAAGATCTTCAGAAATTAAGGTAAACTTGTTAAAGGAATTTCAACAGTTTTCATTTCTCATTTTAACATCAGAGTTTTTATTTCTGTTACCCTGCTTTCCCTGGCTCCATAGTAAAATAAAATTGAAACAAAAATTTTGGGGGTTCGTCTGCCCAGTACAGTGTTGTGTTTTTCATTTCAGCAAGTAGCAAATCATTCTACTTTCTGAGAAAGCAATACAACTGAAACATTTTATGGAAGTGTTTTGCTTGGTATTTCAGAAGTCACAAATGATCTCCAAAATGATACTAAATCATAAAACCAAATTTAATTTGTTTAATCAAGTATGTTTACTTATTCAGAGGAGGAACCTGCTCCAAACAGTGTTGTTGAAGAATACCTTCAGGAGAAGAGAAAATATGAAGACAAGCGGAAGCAGCAGCCAAAGAAAGGGGTTTCTCGCGAAGATCAGGTAATAGTTACACAACCTGGGGAAAAAAATTCCAGTAAAAGTTCTGAAAATGTTTCTTTCTATATTTGTGTAAAAATAAAAGTTTTAAAATCCATTATGTTTCATTTTCTATTAAAATAATCTTCTTATTTGTAAAAATAAATATGTACTCTTCAATCCCCTATTTTGATTACCCAGACAGACAGGTAAGTGAAGTTTCAATGTGTATTTGAAAGTGCTATCAGTTTAGTCAATAAAATCTTCCGAAGGGAAATGCTACCCACACAGAGGTATCCTTGATTACGTTTACAAGATTTTGCATTTCTGTACAGTGCTTTCCTTGGCTCTGCAGCTTGCCACAGGATAGTATTGGGACAGAAGTTTGCATACTTGGCATCTGTCCAAGCTGGGTTTTTTAACATTTTAACTTATGTTTTAAAGAGATTAAATTCATCCATACCTTTTGGTGTTGTGAAATGAACAGAAATAGTTTTTAACTGTGCTGTAGAAAGAGAATCCTTTTTAAATATAATGAAAATTATTTTTCAGAATGAGTTGGGATGTATGTAGACTTTAGTATACAAATACAAGCAAAGTAAAGTTTGACGTAAATATTTTTTTTTCTGAAATAGGAAAGTTTGAAACTTAAATATATGAAACTGCCTGTGAAGTGGAAAATACCATTAACTTAAAATCTGTGCAGTACATCAAATGCATTGGTTTATCAATTCAGCTACGAAGATGTTCATATTCAACTGTTGAAGAGATTGGAAACTTGAGGCTTAGTAACTTCAAAGCAGCGGTTGGCAAACCTTTATATATGCGGCAAGCTGATTTAGCTCTAAACTAAGAAGTTTATGGAAACTTTGTACGTTCAAAAGCCCATTAACTTTGAATCAAAGAGTACTAAAGCTCTGTTGGCAATGTGGATCAAGGGACTTGAAACCACTTCTAATGAATTTATATCAGCCCTGTGCTGGACATCATAGGAAAACAAGATGAGATGACAGGGATGTATATTTTAGTAGATCTTAATTTTTATTTATGTAACCCTGCTGGTAACAGGGTTAATAATTAATCAAATTCTTTGTAATCCATTTCACTTGTGGAGATCCTCTTCTATCCTTGCATCCCTCCTACCTGGTCCTACAGCACAATACCATTTTCCGTCCTCTGTAGAAGAGTTAAAGAAGAGGGGGAAAGGTATGTGTTTCCTTACAATACTAGATATTGGAAGTCCCAACCTTATAATTCTACAAGGGTCAATTTATAAAGTCATTTGATCCAAAGTATGGCATCTAATCACTCACTGCAAAAATGCCTGCTAAGATATTTCAAAATTATTTCTGTCATCAGGTCTATTCACAGGAATGCTGGCACTAGAGAAAATTAGACAAGACACAAGGAATGTGACTTTGGTTGGTCACAATTTCATGTAAAAAGTGTTAGTTTGTTTTCTTCTGATTGCCTAGGCAGAGATTTGCTGTCTCAGATGTTGCGAGATCAGGATGTGTTTGCAATAATACGGAAAGCTATAGAACTTGAATGATTTGCAGGCCCAGATATCTTTGAGATTTTCCTCTCTCCCATCTTAAACAGAAGATTAAACAGAAAATAAAGAAAATAAATGCAAAAAGCCCTCCAGAACCTGCCTTTGGCAGTGCTAAAAAATGTTTTTGAAAGAATTCAAAAGCCAGGAAACTCCTAAAGTTAAGATTGCTCCCAGAAAGAAACTTGATTCCAGTGAACACTTCTGGTATTTCCTATTTCTGTTTTCTATTCTTGTTTAGTTTTTATTCTTTTAAATTTGAAAAACTTGACTAAACAAAACTAAACAGCCATACAGGCGTGTTTTACAACATAGGTGGCCAACCTATCACCTACATATTAAATGTAGCCTGCCAGATAAATTCAGTCAAGCACTTATTCCCTGATGCTTTCCTTTCCAGGAACGTCTCAAATATCAGCAAGAAATAAGCTGTAGGCTGTGCAAATTATTCTTATGGTCTGCCCTTTTTTTGAAGAGCCCCCTCTCCCATCACAAGGCTCAGGCATGCAATTCTTGTATAATCAAAATTGCATTCCAGCTGATCAGAAACAAGACCTGCGGTATGATCTTCAGGTGTCACCTGAGATTTGGTGACGACTTCATTGTAGCTGAAAGACCGGGCAATGTCAGCTGGAGAATAAAATACCAAATATAAATCAGTATGAGCTTAATGTATGCAGCATAAGAACCTGTATCTGTAGAATTAGTTAAGGAGGTTCATTTTATTGGAGTCAAAAGCTTTGAATTTTTTTCAATGTCAGTACATAATTTAAAAGATCAGCAATGTAAAGTATATAAATATCAATCAAACTGGGTCTTCAAAGCTTGAATGATCTGTAATTTACACAACGGATTGCTTTACAAGAAGAAAATAGCAGGTTCAAACAGTAAAACTCATTGTCAGCAGTCAGTGTCGTTTAATCAGCTATTTTATTCTGTAAGTAGCCACAAGGTTTTGTTCCTTAAATACGCATTTTGGTTTCACTAGATGGCCAGACAAGTGCTCTCTCACACCTGCGGGGCGCCTTCCCTGCTTGCTCTTGCTGCCTCAATATTGCTTGCTTGCTTTTGCTTGTTCTCTTGATGAGCACTCTCAATGCATTCTCGCTCTCTCGCCCTGCCCCTCCCCACTGCCTCTTGCTCTCTCACTTGCCTCTCTACAGTTTTTTTTCCAAATTCATATGAAAGATCTCTCTTCCGTCGTATTGCACTATTTCTTAAAATAATAATAGTTTAAAGATGTTGTATACACCTGTTGTGTATAAATATATGTAACTTCTCTAAAACCATGTATTTAATTTCAGACACTGGCACTGTTGGACCGATTCAAATCAAAGTTAACCCAGGCAATTGAAGAAACTCCTGAAAATGAGGTATCTGAACCTGAAGTAGATAATGACGAAGGATGGTGAGTTTTTTGGATTTGGATTTCTGTGTTTACTGCTGGAAATCCTACTGCACTAACATATTCTCACTGTTAAGCGTAAATTTAAGGAGTAGCAGAAACACCAAGTGTGAAGACAGCTGCTGCAGCAAGAGTCAGCTAAAACGTACTGGTTTAGCACTCTGGAAAATAAGGCGGGAGAGTAGAAGACGTTTTGCTTTGTGTAGTTATAAGTCCTACTAAAACTCTGTGTTGGAGGTGGTAAGTATTTTAAAGACTGATGGATGAGATTAAGATAGACTGATAGACTCACCTGAAGTGTAGGGTGACCGCAAGGAAGTGGGGTAGGACTGGAATTGATAAAGCACTGCAGAACTTACGACCTCAACACCTCCCAGTCAAGGAAGTAACTTGTACCATGTTGTCTCATGTTCATCTCCCATCCGAAGAACCCACCTTAGGTAGGGATGGGGATAAAAATCAATATGATTGGAATTGTGATCCTGAAGTCCTAGACTGCAAGCTGCTAGATGATAATAAAAATATCTGCATAAAATGACTAAGAAAAAAGCAAAAAAAAACATAACAAAAATGTTTTGTAAGGACAGGTCATCCTTTTTTATAAGGCAAGCAATATAGCTGGTCTAATAAAATAGGTTGTCTCTGCCTACAACTTTTTCCTTAGTTGTATGCATAAGCCATCAAAGCTACAAGCAAAACTACCACTAAAATAGAAACCTTAACAAAGTTCTTGGCAAGTGTTTTAAGACAACCAATATTTCTGTATCTCAGATAACTTAAAATTATTAAGTGAAAATACATCAGGTGTACCCTTATGATCGTCCTAAAGGCTGCCTTCCTGGGAGAGGGAAACTAATAGGATACTACCTGCCCCAAAATCTCCAAACTAGCACCAGGAACTAGACCTGAAAAAAATTTAATTACAATAAGGAGAAAAACTAAAATGTACAAACATGTACATTAGACACCCTTTTTAAATAGAAAATAAATGATGTAACTAAATGTGATTAAAGCATCCTGCATCTGTTTTGAGAGGACTCCTACAAAACTGTAAGATAACCATGTTAACAAAGTTGTTTTTCTCAGATGAGAAGACAGTCAGCATTGGTAGGAAATGCAGACTGTCTAAATAACTTAGTTATTTTTACTGTCATTCTACAAATGAAAAAGTGAGAAAAGGCTGAAGTGAGAAAAGACACTATAAAAAAGACTGTGAGGGAAGATAATATATGGAAGGAAAAATGTTTTTTTACATCTTAATTCACTTTTTTTTCTTTCACATTTTGATAAATTCTTCAACTATCTGTAAGTTACACATCAAGTTACAGTAAGGTATGTTATAAAAATGTTTATTTTTTTATATAGTGAATCAGAATATCTTAAGACTATTTAAAGATACATTCCATAAAAATTTTTAAAAAATTAAAAAACCCGTAGGTCGTGAAAGGTAAGCTGAATTGCAAATTCTGAGGCCAATTGTGTTGATGAAACTGAAATTTTAGATCACTCTTAGATAACTTTTCCTTTCTTGTTTGTATCATATACATAATGAATCATTGCATGTATTTTAATTTAGTAAGATAAAGCTACACAGATTCTGCAACTTTACCTTCGCACCTTCTTGCTTTTCACTGAATTGAGCTAAGACCTTATAAGGGAAATTCTAGGATTTGCAGAAAACTTCAGACACGTGTACTGGCAGAAAGACTAACACTAGAAGTATAGCACTTAGCGTAGAATTCTTGCAGTTTATAAAACTATTTTTACATACGTAGTGTGTAATGAGTACATTTAATTTTTCAGTGTTTCTTTGTGGGCATTAGTGTAGCCTGCTTTCATCTTAACAGATATCTTGGCATTTTCATCACTGAAAATGCACATAAGTGTTACTAAGTAGGCTATTAAAAATCCTGTGATTCTTTCAAAACAATAGCATTTTATTGGTTATATTCTTTATTTCATTCCCCCCCCCCGAAGAACTGAGCATTTCTCATAGCTTTAGAATCTAACCACACACCCCCCTCGTTATTTATTTATTTATTTATTTATTTATTTATTTATTGTACGTAAGAAGAACGGAACATGGTATTTTAAAATATAAATTGAGGTTAGGTTTGCAAAGTGTAAGTTTTCTTTCTACTTTTAATGTTAATTCCATTATCTGGAAATACAGCCTTGCTTTCTTTGCTTATGTTCTTTGGCTATTTTAACAGATAAATCAAAACACACACATCTTGGCTTTGGATTATTGCTTTTGAAACAATAGAGAAAATAATTTCGTAAATCTTGCCCCTTTCAGGATAACTCTTATTACTATCTTGCCATTATTTTAAGTTTTCTCTTGTCACCATCTATTTGGTTGCTTCTTCAAATCATGTAGTCTTCCTTCATTATGTCTTTTCCTATCTCAGGCTCTTTGAGGGTGAGGGATAACATACAGCATGAATTTTGAGGTCCTTGGATTTCACTGCTATTTTGAGATCCTTCTGAGCTACCAATTTGCTTCTAAGTTCTCCAAGAATTATAAATAGACTATTTCAGTTGGAAGGGACCTACAACTATCATCTAGTCCAACTGCCTGATCAGTTCAGGACTGACCAAGCTAAAGCATGTTCTTAAGGGCGTTATCCAAATGCCTCTTAAACAGCCTTGGCCACTGACCACCTCTCTAGGAAGCCTGTTCCAGTGTTTGACCACCCTCTCGATAAAGAAATGCTTCCTCATGTCCAGTCTAAACCTCCCTTATGCAGCATTTCCATGAACCTGAAGGACTGGTCTTCATGTCTGATATTTTCTTGTCACAGTAATATAACCAGTCTTTTAACGACTTTTATAGAGTCCAATCGCTATCTTTCCTATTCCTTTCTGAGTAACTACTGACATATAATTGGTGATAATTCTTTTCTCTGTAAGTAATTCATACTGAATGAAGAAGAGTGTTGCAATTTCAGATTATGAAGTTGTATTTTTGCTCAGAAAATCATATTGCATTCAGAATTGCACTAAAACAAAGACTTATAATAATATGAAATAGTCTACATAATAGACTAATAATTAACATCATATTAATTTTGCAGCACGGTAAATGTACTTATTAACATTACAGACAGATGAGACAGTCTGTTTTCAAAGAATTTACTTTGAAGCTAAATAAATTGTAAAATGTACATGTTACACAAATTGGTTATAATCACATACAACATTAACAAAGCAATGAAGTCTTCTAAAAGCTATTAATGATTGTTAGAATCGCTTGGAAAGTTAAATTTCATATTTTGGGATAAGAGTTTATGTTTTCTGTGTCTTTGTTGTATTGGAATATTTGAGATAACTCTAATGACTTTACATTTTAAAATTATTTCTTAATTCCAATCTACTACTCAAAAGACAATAATTCTATTTGGTTTGATTTTTATTAAATACAATTAGTGTATGGCATATGCATATATGATATGCACAAATTACGTGATTCCTCCGCCGTTTTGTAGGTCATGGTTGCTGTTTTTATGGGAAGTGAAAGCCTGCCAGTATGCTTTGCTCTACTGTCAGGGTGTGGTATCTGAGGTAAAATGATTGCCTCTAAGACATTTTTATGTGTCCACACGAGTGGCCACACATTGAGGTATAATTTTCATTTTCTGTCAAGATAGAAACCATTACCAATTTGTTATGTTTTCTTTTATTTGGCAAACTTCTCTCTGCATATTTGGCTGAGCTGCTGTATTGGCATGGAGCATAGCAGACGTTTGGGCACTTTTCAGCAGCATTCTACTTTTTGTGCAAGAAAAAAAGAAGAAATATGACTCTATTGTAAACAGTGTGTATGGTGTTTGATAATTATTACCAGATTTTACTGTCTAAGAAGGCATCTGAGGAAGTGTTGTGAAGAGAGCTGAAGAGAAATGTGTAATACTAAGTTTTAACATGAAATACCAGAATCTTTGCTGAGGCATTCTGTTGCAAACTCTATTGCTATGTGAGAACAATTATATAGATCTGTCTGCAGCAATCAAAAACCAATTTCCCCTACAGAATTCAAAAGTATCAAAATAAACATGGTATTTTCTGCCAGAAAGGGTACTTGTAACAATAAAAATGTCTGCAAACAAGTAGACAGACACATTTTTACAGCATCTGGGTACCTCAGGAAGACATGCTTGATCCTAGTTCTTCCAGGCACAAGCATTTTTATCCCTATGCCTCCATATTGAGAACTATTGCTTATGCTTTTCTTTTAATGATTTGCCAGATGCCTTCAGTACTATTTAATCATTAGTTGTTCTTTATTTGCTTACAGTCCAAATAAGAAAGAGTCAGATGCATGACTTCATTCTTCTCTTTCACAAGGTTGTACAGAATGTAGCAGAGGTAGGTAGAGATGATCTGGCAGAAATGAGTCACTCATTCTGTGCTTAAAGTCTTACCCAAGAATACTTTTCCCCAAAATGTAGATGAGCTCCATCACAGTGGCAGTGAGGTATCATCTGCTTAAAGACTAATAGTATGAAAACCAAATACATCACAGCAGAAGACCCAGCTGGAATAATTCATCTACTTGATACTTCCCATCTGGATTACTGGATAGGCCTGAATTTGAAAGTGAAAACACTGCACAGGCTACACTTCATACAGAACACTGCTGCTCCTCATCTTCTTTAGGACTTGGACTGCTGTGTGCGTATAGTTGCATGCATGTGACACCCAGTCAGGTTGTAGTGCCACTTCAGGGCTCTGATTATAGTATCAAATAGTTACAGCTATAGTAAAATGCAAATTTCAGTCCAGAAAGTGTTATGGCAACTGCAGATAATGAAACTGATGATGCAGATCCTGTGAACACAACATAAGATATTTTCCGTAGAGAGAATCCAGCTATGGGACAAAAAAATTCAGAGGCCATCAAATATATTCAAAGATTGATTACTTTAGTTAATCTGTGCAAAATATTCCTCTTCAAATAGGATAAGAGTGATACTTACTACTCTGAAACACCCTCCCATCAA